GTTCAACATCGAAATTTTGTCTCAACATGGTTGTGTACAGAATTATTTAATTCCTTATGGAATTACCTTTTTGATGCTGTGTCACACTCATTACTTTCCCTAATCAAATTGTATGAGTGAACAAGGGGTGGGAGAGAAGTATGACAGTTGAGGTAACGATAAGATTTGTCTCCCTCGGATTTAAAATTGACGTGTTTTTGTATTATCTTCACGAAACATGTGTTTTGAAGAATTCGTTTTCGGTGTCGAGTTAAATCGAACCATAATTACAAATTTCGTCCGCCATTTTGGAACCATCATCTTGATTTTTTACATTGAAAAACTATTCATAATTTCCGACCCTGAAAACCATCACTTATCAATTTTGAATCAAATCGGACCATAATTGCAAATCTTGTCCGCCATTGTGAAGCCGCCATCTTGTTTTTTCCCCTAGAAAAACTCCATAATGCATTGTCACCGAATTCATGTCAAATTTGCTTGGAAATGAAGTATCATAATTTGGAATACGGACCAGTTATTTTCCCACAAGAGGGTGCCAAAATCGAAAGTTAGGTAGCTTAAATTGGTATGGCTGAATTCCTTATGAAATTATCTTCTCAACGATGTGTCACACTTACTACTTTCCCTATTCAAATTGTTTGGCTGATAGTCACCAAGGGGTGGGGGAAGAGGTAAAACAGTTAAGGTTATAATAGGAAGATGTTCCCTTTAGATAAAAAATCGACGTGTTTTTGCATCTTTTTCAGAGCACATGTGATTTGAAGATATTCGATCTGTTTCGTTTTCGGTGCCCCAACCTGTATAATTTTTCAAATTTTTTGTACACATTTGTGGAAATTTGACGGTGCTAAGCCGGTTCTGCGTTGCTATCATCGACATAACCCGATTATGTCGATGGTTGCTACCCGTGTGTAGTCAGAACTAGTCGCTTGTATAATATATACGATGGAACAAGAATATTGGGTTACATGACGATAACTCTGAGAAAGAATTCAATTTGTTTTTGCTCACACTTTAAAATAAAATTCCTCTATATCTCAAGACTCTGAGCCTTATCAAATCATAATCCTTAAAATTGATACCGAACACGTTCTTTGATATTCTGGAATTTTTGTATGTTTTAATGTTTGTTATTAAACCATCTTAGTACAGATGGTTTAAACCACCTTTTCCAAATTATTTTACGCCAATATTCGTGGTATTACGGAATTTTAACGTGCAACATGATGCCATCTTTTGACCAGTATTTTAAGATGAGCTAAGTACTCCGGAGAACCTTCTGCCAAAGTCTTTTTGTCTTTATACCATTTTATACTATGGCAAAGCTATGGTCAAAGAATACAAAACCCATAGAAGCTCAAAACTGGCACTTTCGTCATTGTCTAATAAATCTTTAGACAATGCTTTCGTGTCATTTGAAATTTTTAGTACTTAACCTGACTATCAGAGGGCTTTGTATAATATGTTTAAGCTACATCCGGGTATATTATAAAGATAGGTAATAAGATCTTTATAATGTGACCGTGTTATAGCGAATTCCTTGCAGATGCGGGTCGGTCTACATTGGAACCACGAAAAGAAATGTAGGTGTAGTATCATGCACCCTAATTGATCACCTTAACAAAAATGGATTCTACACAATTGCATACGCAGATGACATAGTTATCTTGCAGACCGGCAAATTTGTAAACACACTGTGCGATAGAGCGCAGGATGGGCTCAAATTGATAGAAACATGGTGTAAGGAACACTCACTGTCGATCAATCCCAAGAAGACTGAGATGGTCCTTTTCACCAGGAAAAGAAGTTTAACGGGCTTAAAACCTCCCGAAATCTTCAAAAGCCAACTAAACTTCTCTGAAGAGGTGAAATACCTTGGTATTATCCTCGACAAGAAGCTAACATGGAACTCTCATCTACAGAGTAGAGCAAAAAGAGCATACGTGGCTTATGAGCAATGTCGGAGGACAGTGGGACGCGCATGGGGTCTTTCACCCCGTGTAGTCGCCTGGATCTACACTGCAATAA